GGGGAGTCAAATTGCCGGTTGGGGGTCCCGGGGGATGGGGAATTATGGGGGGGATAATTTCACACGCCTAGAGACCCACAAAAGGTCGGCCGAGTCCAAAATCAAGCGCTCAGAAAACGTATGAAAGTCACAGGATTTCGAAACACGGCTTGCTATGCGTGTGTACATATATGTGCGTGTGCATGCACATTGTGGTGGGAAACAAGGGTTGGCATTTCTAGGCCAGCCGATAAGACGATAAGACGATATAAGACAATAAGACGATAAGACGACATAGGGTCTCGCCAAACGATAAGACGATAAGACGGTATGCGGCTTGACCAGACCATAAGATGATAAGACGATAAAAGGGCCATCTCTGTAGCGTCTTATCGTCTTATCGTCTGGTGCAGCCCCCTCTCGTCTTATCGTCTCATCCTTTTCTCGCCTTCTCGTCCGGAGCTGATCTGGAGTTGGCGTTGGGGCATGGATGCAGGATACGATTGGACATGCTCGAAGCGCCTTGGCAACACCAGCGGCCACGACCAGAGGCATAGCCTTGGGGGCCAGCATTGAAGGACTCCCTGCTGACACATCGCAGGGCGTCCTGTTGAACCTCGGGGGTCAGCCTTGGAGTTCACCCCGTTGAAACCTCGCAGGGCTCAGCAAGGGACGACGCCTTGTAGAAACCTCGGAGGGCTCAGCATTGGAGGATGCCCTGTAGAAACTTTGGAGCGTTCAGCAGGGGGGGGGGCGCCTCGGAGGGCTCAGCGTTGCACATGCACGTGCAAGTATCTCCAGGACGGTGCTTGCGATAGCAAGCTCGTATGCACAAGTGCCCACCGTTGCGTGCAACGCGTAGATTGCACCACATCGCTTGCACCACATCGATTGCAACGCATAGACGGCGCCGCAAACACCGAACCACACACACACACACACACTTAACAGCAGTTTACACTGCTGAAGTGTTACCGCCCACCCTAATCACAGTATCCCCTCTTGAACTCCATCTCACTGTTGAGTTTAACTTGTGTTCCATAGCACTCAGTACAGCACAGTGCATGCTGATGGTGTGTCTGCTCTGTTTGATGTTTTGCTTGAGAGCGATAGTCGAGCTCAGCGCCAGACCCTTCTTCCTTGGAGTCTCTCTTTCCGTCGCTGGCTTCTGCTTCTGGTTCAAGAGATTTGTAGGCGCCTAAGCTGTGAGGGCACCGGTGGAAACACCATCCTAGGCCCTTCCCAAGGGGGCCAGGGAGCCTACTGTCGGAGCCGCGGGCCATAGCAGCAGTCGCAGGAGCAGCGAGTACGACAACACCAGTAACTCGTAGCAGCAGCAAGCAGGGAGAGAGAGCAGCAGAGAGTGCACCTGGCATTCGACGTGCGCCCGGTGGCGCCACTGCCTTGCGGAAGCGGCCGTGCGAGGCTAGCTTGGAGAAACCGTTTGCTTGAGCACTGCTACCCGCGGTACCCGACCGGAGAAAGGAGTAGAAGTCAGAACAGGAAGGAAAAGGACGAGTCGACCGAGCTTTTCGTCTTATTCGAATCGTACGTTCGAGGAGGACAAGGAGGGGGCACACGTTTTCTTCAGAAGATTGGTCATTCTACTATCCTTCACAGTAAGAACAGTATCAAACACACTACTGGGCTTGATTCCATCCCCGGGTGGCGGTTCAGGAAGAACACACACACGTATCTATCACGTTTTCACGTTCAATATGTTTGACTCCAAGTTCCTTACTACTCTACTAGGCATCCAGCAAGAGAGAAGCAGATGGTACGATCGAGAGATGTTGAACCAGAAGGTTGGGCCATTGACTGACATGCAGATGATCCGTGGCGTCGCGCGATGCTGCGGATTCGTTTTACCAGCGAACGCCCAACCAGCAGAAAGTGGCGAATATCTGGCCGCGCGGATGTGCGGATGGTGCCAGGATGGATTCCCTGAGGACGCGCAGCTCAACTTCCGCATTGTGCGCATGTGTTTCGGAGCACTAATTGAATGGCTATTCAAAAGATGCTTGAAAACATGTCGGGGGTCATCATGTATATGGAGCCTGTGTATGTCGTTCTGTATTTCGCTCACGTTGTACGACTTGGTACACCAACAAGAACGTAGAGTGTTTCTCCGCACGGTCATGCGTGGACTCACACCGACAATACAGCACATATTACTGCATCGTCAACTATCGCACCCTGCATGGCATAAGTATATACAATACCAATTCGAAGCAATATGGCATAATAAAAACATACCTTGTGAAACAGCTGTGTATTTCACGTGGATGTCGCACGATGGGTCGTCTTGGTATGTCGGAAAAGCAAACACCACACGGCACCATAAAGATGGTAGGACCGAGTCAGGCATACTCCAGCGCTACAGGGAGCACGTGACAGGTTTCATGGTACAAGGCGCACGTAGTGTTTATCGACGGTATGTGTTGTGGGCCCGTTTTCACCCTTACGACTACAGATACTTGGTAGGAGTATGGGACAGTGAGCATCGAGCTTTACAGTACGAGCATGCAGTCATTACGTACCTCGCCGCCCCTACCCAACAGCGGCACCACCTCTGCGTAGACAATCGAGTTGAGCGCTTTCGACCTTTTCCTCGATTCCGTCAGCGGCCAACCGTAGTTAGGGAAGCTCAGTTGAACGTTGCGAACTACATCCAACATAAATATGCTGGGCACCACGCCCAGACAAAAACAAGTCTTCAGGAATGTGTGAACACCGATTACAAATACGACGATTTCAAGCAACTGGTAACACGGAATCGTACATGTTTTTCCGTTGGGCATGCAGAAACTATCAGGCTAATGTACAGCAGCGTGTTCTACATGTGGTTGGCACTGTATCTAAGCGACCCGAGGAACCGGCTCTGCTACCGTAGCGTGTGGGACAACGTAAACCCAATCAAGTTGATGATTAAGACTTACGTATATTCTCAAAGGATGAGTCTCGTCAAAGCGGCAAGAGTACAAAGGAAGGTCTTGAGATTTCTGAATAGCAGTGGGATTTTTCGCACACACAAGTTCACCATCCGAGTGGCCACTTCTTCAAAGTATCTGATGGCACAGATCACGAAGGTGGTTCGGAAACTATGCCGTTTAATCGGAGAGGTGCATTTCACTGAGTTGGGCATCTTCTTCGCGAGCCGCATGCGGGTTGTGCAGACTGCACCACCCACTGTTGCGCAGTCCCTGCCCAGCCATATTCAGGCTGCCAGATTTTTCAGCGTTGCGGAGCTTGCTGATGTCACTGAAGACGAATTCATACGAGCTTACCTGAGGCATGACGTGCAAAAGTACCCTCATTTCTGGAACGTGCCTACTTCGGAATACCGGCAGGACATGAAGACGGATGTGCTCGAGCAGTTGCGGGAGATGATTGTGTCATACAATGTGTCAGATTTCAGTGGCACTCTTCATGCGCATTTTGACGATCTTGATTGGCATGGCGACAACATCTGCGATTTAAGTTGTTTGTTTCCAGTGTGTGGCCAGGACCAGGTTGCAGTCGTCATGGATAAGAACGTTCGCATGAAGGTTTTCGTTAATCGGCGTGCTTACCTTATACGTCTCACCTTGGGCTACACTGACCCGAAGCATTATCGTGTGACCAACGAAAGTGCGGAGCAGTTTCTCGAGCGCAAGTCGGAGCTGTACTCTCGATACATCCCGCAGGCCTGGAAGGGAAAACATGTTGAGTATTCCAAGCAACAGTTGCAATACAGCTACCACAACTACAAAGACAAGTGTCATGGTCTAGCCGGCGGGCTGGAATGTAATAGAGATCATTCCCATGATCGTGAGATCATCAGCGACCAACACAATCCACATAAGAGGTACTTGCGCTTAGTTGTTCGTTCCATTCGTCTGATTAAACGCTTATCCAACGAAAAGACATGGACTGTTTGGAAACAGCTACAGGTCCAGCAACATGTTCGCGATGGCGTGGCCAAACTCCGAATTGTAGAACAATTTCGGCATCGGTGCCCGTGCGGCGCGTCAAAAGACAGGGCGCTCCAAATGACGAAACTCGATGCTGCTCAATTCTTCAAGGCCGCGTCGGTGGAACGGGGTATCTCCAGAGTTAAAGCCATGTTGCAAAGAGTAGAGCAGCGATCTGGCATGAACGCAGTACGTGTGAAAAAAACTCCACGGATGGACGGAACTTTGGTCAGAATTGATAGAGAAACAAATCATGTTCGGCATGGCGCGCACGTACCATACCACACACTCCGTTTTCAGGATATATATGACACATTGGATTACGCTCTACATGACGATCGATTTTTGTTGGGCGTCGACACTGTTATCAAGCGAAAGGGAGGTTGGCCAATGGGCGCGTCCCTGAGCGAGCCTTGCACGATGATCGACCTCGGCCAGAGCATACTAGATTGCCACACGAGCTGTCAACATATGCATTCTTGTGGGTGGCAGTGCCCTGGGCACCAGTTGGCACTTGACCATATAGTGTGTGGAGCTTTGCACGTAGATGACCTAGGCGTCTTTAGCTACATCTTCTGCGCACGGTGCTTGAACGAACGTGTCCAGAGCATGTTCCCAGCAGACGTGGGGTTCGCACAGGAGGAGGAAGGACCTATCATGCGCGTTTTGCAAGCTGTCGTCGCCATTCACCCCGATTCGTCCCTCTCTTTCTACCCGGTTCACCCTAACATCTGGTTCAGTTTACGGATTAGTGATCGGCAGAAGGTGTTGCGTTTAGGAGTGTTTTACCATCCCAGTATCCAGTCTTACGATCAACTTCGAAACTTCTTAATCACGCAGATCGTCACGTATGACCAGATCATCCTCGGAAAAGCCATGGGCATGTTTTATTTTGTATTCGGGTTGGTTTCAGAAGTCCTGGAACTCAAGTGGCCGGCGCATTGGATCCAGAAGGCGCTGCGGAGTATGCCGAGACGATTTCGTTCCCCATTCGTGAATGCAGTGAGGAATTTTGCACGAGTCCTCCGACGCGGCAGTATGGGTGACATTTTGGCTCTAGCAGTTTCCAGGGAACCCGAAAACATAGAGAAGTATCATGCAGTTTTCTCCGTGATGGGCGGAGGCGAGAAAGGACAGAAAAGCATGTAGTACAACGCCTACCACCAGAACCAGCAACAACAGCAGAAAGGAAAGGGAGGACGTGGAAAAGGAACCGGAAATGCCACGAATCAGAGCTGGATCATGCGTGCACTCCGGTCTGCGCAAGCTGAGAATGCGGAGTACCGAAGGCAGCAAGAAGTCGAAGATCAGCAGGCGGTATTGCAGAACTGCGTCAGCGAGGGCGTGATGCAGGCCTTCGGCATGCCACCTCCAACCCTGGCGCCCACCCCGGCGCCGGTCCAGCAAGCACCGACGATGATGCCCGGCGCCGGATCTTACAGTTCAGGTGCAGCAAGTATGCTTCCGTTCATGTCCGGCTTCATGCAGATGACACAAGGAGGTAATGCGCAACACCGCGGTGCCGGAGCTCCAGGGCAGCAGCCAGCACATGATGGGCGCAAGCACGATAAGCGCCGGCATCGGTCACGCTCGAGATCGAAAAAGAACAAGAAGAAAAGCAGGAAGCGACGCAGATCTACCAGCTCCAGCTCGAGTTCGTCATCCTCCACTTCAGGTTCAGACTCCAGTCCGGATCGAAAACAGGCGCGCTGCCCAGAAGCCATGGGACTGATGTTCGAGCAGTGGCGGAATTTCATGATGCAACGGGCCAGCGGCGCACCCGAGCGTGAAGAAGAGGGCTCGGAGAAGAAAGATAAGAAGAAAGAAGATAAGAAGGATAAGAAGAAGGACAAGAAGGATAAGGAGAAGGACAAGAAGGATAAGGAGAAGGACAAGAAGGATAAGGAGAAGGACAAGAAAGAAAAGAAAGATAAGAAAGGCAGCAGGCAGGAGCCCGCCCCCGCAGCAGCGGCCCCGAAGGGCCGCATGCTGGTCGCCCCGGATCTTAGTTCAGCCCCGGGGGAAGCCGAAACCGAAGCGATGAAGAAAGTTCTGTTGGCTTGCAGTCTTGACAACGACGTGAGCGAGTTCGAGAATGTCGCAGCGCTCACGGCACACGTGGTCAGCAGCATGTCCGTGTCTCAACTCGACAAGGTGCTGGAAGCGAACGGCTTCACAGGTAGCAAACCTAACACCAAGGAGAAGAAGGTGAATGCTTTGATTGACCATGCGCGCGGAACGTAATGAGCACAGCGCGTGCAGTGAGCGTAGACCCAGCGCCGGGAGATCGGGCCATGAGCATGCTCGCTTGTCCTTTCGTCTCATTCCCCATCCATGTCACTAGCATGAACGTTCTCGATTACATATTCTTGCCTGTATTGGCAATCTTGGCATTGTGTGCCGACGCAGTGTACCTGCTTCTGAAATGCATCTGCTGTCCGAGACAGGCTGCCATGACCGTTGCCGTAGTCATCACAGGCTGTGGAGCGATTGTTTTAGCGTGTTTCGGACTTGCCTTTACATATCGATGGGTCACACACTTAACAGCAGTTTACACTGCTGAAGTGTTACCGCCCACCCTAATCACAGTATCCCCTCTTGAACTCCATCTCACTGTTGAGTTTAACTTGTGTTCCATAGCATTCAGTACAGCACAGTGCATGCTGATGGTGTGTCTGCTCTGTTTGATGTTTTGCTTGAGAGCGATAGTCGAGCTCAGCGCCAGACCCTTCTTCCTTGGAGTCTCTCTTTCAGTCGCTGGCTTCTGCTTCTGGTTCAAGAGATTTGTAGGCGCCTAAGCTGTGAGGGCACCGGTGGAAACACCATCCTAGGCCCTTCCCAAGGGGGCCAGGGAGCCTACTGTCGGAGCCGCGGGCCATAGCAGCAGTCGCAGGAGCAGCGAGTACGACAACACCAGTAACTCGTAGCAGCAGCAAGCAGGGAGAGAGAGCAGCAGAGAGTGCACCTGGCATTCGACGTGCGCCCGGTGGCGCCACTGCCTTGCGGAAGCGGCCGTGCGAGGCTAGCTTGGAGAAACCGTTTGCTTGAGCACTGCTACCCGCGGTACCCGACCGGAGAAAGGAGTAGAAGTCAGAACAGGAAGGAAAAGGACGAGTCGACCGAGCTTTTCGTCTTATTCGAATCGTACGTTCGAGGAGGACAAGGAGGGGGCACACGTTTTCTTCAGAAGATTGGTCATTCTACTATCCTTCACAGTAAGAACAGTATCAAACACACACACTTGACCCTGGTGATGGTGTCGGACTGGAAGGCGGCAGTCGGAAAGGCGGGCATGACAAACGAGTCCCACCGCAAACTCTGGCTCACTCGCGCCACGCTGATTGGAGTCAGGATGGCACGAGGCATTGCAGACCAGCCGTCGCGCCACGACAAGAAGCTCTCCCTGAGCGCCTTCGCCGCAATCTTCCCCGACCAGAGAAACTACATTACTCGCATCGGGAAACATCTGCGGTGTTCGTCGGCCGCGCAGCTGGTGAAAAAGCTGCAATACGAGGGCGCGCCTGAATATTTTTCAATGTTCCTACGCCTCTTCCTGGACACGCGGGCCAGGCAGTTCTCGGCCGCCGACTTGAAAAAGCACGCGACATCCATCCGCCGCGCCCGCAAGGTGCACGAGAACAGGGCCGGGCGCGACGGCCATCCGGCCGCCGTGGTGGAAGCAGTGTTGGACAATCTGCCGCGACGATCTCCTTCGCCAGTCCTGCCGCCATGCGGCGCCTGCACGCGCGAGACTCTGGGTCATCGGAGCTAAAAAATTCTCGCCACGTAGACTGGGCCAGACAGGTTGCGCCGAATAGATTGCACCAAGTGGCTCGCACCGCGCATATTGCGCCGCATAGGTTGCGCCACATCTACAGGGTTACGTGGTATGCACCGCGTAGGCAGCATCGCGTATACTGGACAACGCACTGTGCGGGGCCCACGCTGGTTAACATTTTCTAGCTCCCCTGGCAGTGAGGGCAGCGCCAGAAAATGCTCACAGACTTCGTGCGGGGTTGAGGGTGTGTTGGCAATGGACGACGACGACGACGACGACGACGACGACGACGACGACGACGACGACGGCGACGACGACGACAACGACGGCGGCGACGACGGCGGCGACGGCGACGACGACGACGGCGACGACGACTCCCCCCTGCCCCCCGAGTCCGGGCCCGGACGCCGGCAGAGCGCTGGCAGAGTCCCGCGTCGTTCCCGCGGGACGATGACGACGACGACCGCGACGACGACGGCGGCGGCGGCGGGGACGACGACGCTGGCTAACATCTTCTGGGTCTCCTGGCAGTCAGTACAGCGCCAAAAAATGTTCACGGACTTCCTGCGCGGCTCAGCGTCCGTTGGTAAAAGACGACGACGAGGACGACGGCGACGACGACGACGACGACGACGACGGCGGCGACGACGACGGCGGCGACGACGACGACGGCGACGACGACACCCCCCTGCCCCCCGAGTCCGGGCCCGGCCGCCGGCAGAGCGCTGGCAGAGTCCCGCGTCGTTCCCGCGGGACGATGACGACGACGACCGCGACGACGACGGCGGCGGCGGCGGGGACGACGACGCTGGCTAACATCTTCTGGGTCTCCTGGCAGTCAGAGCAGCGCCAGAACATGTTCACAGAATTCGACGACGACGACGACGACGACGACGACGACGACGACGACGACGGCGCCGCCCGCGGACGGCTGGATGTGCTGTGGCACGCTCCGGATTGCGATTGGCCGCGCCTCCGATCTGGTCCGGGCTATCCTGGACGTCGTCGTCGTCCTCGTCGTCGTCGTCGTCGTCGGGTCGGAAGTTGTCGTCGTTGTCGTCGCCGCCGCCGTCGCCGCCGCCGCCGCCCTCGCTTCGAGGTTCAAGGGCCGAGATTCGAGGTTCGAGGCTTTGGAGCATTTGGCTTTTTGCAGGCCACTGGGGCACCCCAGAGGCCCCCGGCATACGCTTCGTGCGAGTACTGAGTGCCAGCTAGTAATGGTTTGGAGGCGGAGGAGGTCGTCGTCGTCGTCGCCCCCGGCTCGGCCCGCCCGCCCGCCGGCTCGGATCGGCCGGCGGAGGAGCACGAGGAGGAGGAGGAGGAGGAGGAGGAGGACGAAGACGAGGAGGAGGAGGAGGAGGAGGACAAGGAGGAGGAGGGGGTAAAGGAGGAGAAGGAGAAAGAGAAATAATAGGAGGAGGAGGAGGAAGGGAAGGCCCGTTTCGCGCAAGACATCCTCGGAAGCCTGGGTTCTGATGTGCCACGACTGGAACATCCTCACCTGCCCGGGTTCCAATGTGCATTTCTCGAAAGGTTTTGGCCCGTTTCGCGTGAGACATTTTCGGCATTGGGGCCCGAGATGCCTCGACTGGAGGTGATCTGGCCACCTTCGCCATAAACATCCCCGCAACGCGTGGTCCGGCCACGTTCGCCTTTTTGTTCCACCATCGCCCTCACCATCACCACTGTCATGACACCCATCATCGTCGTCCATCACCATCTTCGCCATCACCGCAATCATCACCGTCCATCATCACCGATATCACCATCATCACAATCTCACCATCGCCATTACCATCGTTATGAACACCACTATCACCATCACCAGTACCATCACCATCATCATCGTCCTCGTGGCCGTCATCATCATCGGACGAAAAGACGATAAGACGATAAGATTTCGTCATCGTCTTATCGTATTATCGTTTTGCGTGGCCTTACGTCGTCTCATCGTCTGATCGTCGTATCGTATGGGGAGTCCCTTTATCGTCTTATCGTCTTATCGTTTGCCACCCCTTGTATCGTCGTTTCGTATTATCGTATTATATCGTCTTATCGTCCTATCGTCTGCGTGAGGCTTAAGCCGATGATCCCTACCCCACTGTATGTATATATACATACATACATACATACATACATACATACAAACATGCATACATACACATATACGCGTGTAACTGTACTGTTTAGATATAACAACATATATGCACATATATATATATATATATATATATATATGTATGCGTGTGTAAAACCAAAGGAAAAGAAATAAACAAACAAAAACACAAAAAAATGCGCGCGCGCTCTCACGCGAATTCTCGTGGAAACCATATGTTTTTCATCTTGTTCAGAAAATGCTACGAAATTGGCTTCGCGCGCGCATGTCGAAATCGTTCGAACGCCCTTGCGCGCGTGCCGTTGCGAGAATCCTTTTTACCAAAAAACGGGACGGAGTGCACGCGCGCGCGTCGTCGCGCGGATGCCGAAATCCGTCAAAAACCGTCGGTTTCATAACGATTTCAAAACCGAGTGTCCAAAGAACAAATAAAAACACATGGTTTCGCAACATCCGTTTTTCAGAAAGCGTGCGCTTGCGCTCTTGCGAATTCTTGAAAAAACCATGGGTGTTTCAACATGTTCGTGGAATTCTGCCAAACGGGCCTCTGGCGCCGCATGTCGAAATCATTAGCACGTCCTTGCGCGCGTTTTGGGGGGGGCACGATCCGTGTCAAATAACGCCATGCGGGCCACTCGCGCGTCGGCCGCGCGCGCATGTCGAACTTTTTCCAAAACCTTCATCACCGACGCGAGGACGCCGTCATCGTCGCCGGCGTGATCCGCACCGGTGCCCGCACTGGCCGCGCCGTCGTCGTTGTCAACATCGTCATCAGCATCGCTACTATCATCATCGCGTCTACCGTTGTCGACTTTTCCATGATACCGCGCACGCCCAAGTCGCCGACTCGCACTGAGGTGCCCGCTGGGATGTGCCCAGCGGTCAGCGCCACCGCGGCCGCGTCGGCCGCGCCAAACTAGCTGGCCGCTGCGCTCGCGCGCTTGGGTTGGCGGCCGCAGAGACGCTCCAGCCAACGCCAAGCATTCATCGCAATCGCCACCGCATGGGTTTTGCAAACCAAGTTGAGGGTGGGTGGGTGGGACGTTTGCAAGAGCAGGGGATGTGTCAATTCGTTTGTAAAAATCAATTGACCACATAGATTGTTCCACGTAACTTGCACCACATATGTCATCCCATAGAGCCGCAGTCTTTCATACATAGATAGCACCACATGGATTGAGTTCCGTAGCTTGCACCACATGGCTCGCACCACGCAGCTTGGACCACATAGTCTGCACCACATAATTTGAACCACACGGGTTCCACTGTTACACCACATAGATGGCACAACATGTATGTCACCAAATAGTTGGGCACCACATTCCTTACATCCAGAGTACAACAATGCGTTGGTTGGGGGGGGGCACGTTGTTAAGTATATGAAAAGGGAAGATTTTGA